TTCTCTGGGTTTGGGCAAATGTATAATGATGTAGATACAACATTATGGTGGTATATAGAATCGTTTCATTGCCCTAAAAATCCTCACCGTTCCACCAAAAAAAACTTTTCTTCCCCCCGCTCAGTAAATAATTAACTCTTCCAAATAGCCATGTTCCACAGGCTGCTGGTGCTGTCTCACTCCAAGCCTTTTTGCCTATTTATGCCCAACCCCAGGTCCTACAGGTGCCCTTGCTGCGGTCTGGCTTCTTTGCGGCTCCAGACGGAAAGGTCCATGCTTTTGCCAGAAACCATGTCTTTCAGGACAAGGTACTCTGGTTTTCCTCCTACCTCTCTGACAGGCCCTTCTCCATGGTACCTCCCCATCCTCTTCCCTTAAATGCTGGTATCCCCAGGACCATCCCTGAAATGCCAGTGTCCCCAGGACCCTGTCGCAGCCATCTTCTCTCTCCAGTCTCTCTTTGGAAGACTCACCTAAGCTGGTGGTTTAAATTACCATCAACATGCTGATGTTCTTAAATCCCTACCCTCTCCTCTCAACCTTTATATCTGATGGCCTAACCCAACATCCCTAATTGAGTATCCTATAGGCATCTGAACTCAATGCATGCATAGCTTGCTTTGGGCCACACCCAGTTTGAAGTGTGGATGAAGGATGAGTGGGCATTAGATGAGAAGCAGGATGGGGTGGGATGTGTGGTGGGAATGAATGAAGAGAATGAAGCTGCAGGGACAAGCAGAGGCCAGGCCAGGCAGAGCCTTGAGAGTCATGTTAAGAATTCTGTCTTTATCCAAAGGCAATGGGAAGACAATGAAGGGTGTCAGGCAGATGGAAGAGGAAGTTATGATGAGATTCACTTTTAGACAAGCCCACTGTAGCTTCACAGGAAAGTCCAATTTAACTTCCTCCCCTATGGCTGAAATACAGAACCTCCGTCCAGCCCCCTTGAGGCATGCGTAGTCATGGTCGGTGCTGCCAAGGAGCTTTCACACTCACTGATCTCTTCCTCAAGCCTTGCCTCCGGGAGTCAAGTGGGGCCAGGCCTGCGTCTCTGGGCAGTGACTGTATGAGGGGCCATGTCCAGACACCCCAGGAAAGATGCTCCAGGAAGGCAGATGAAGAACTCAGCTTGAGGGCTTAGCAGATCATGGACATTAAACCATAAGTGCAGCTGGCTCACTGCCCCTCTGACTCACAGGGAGTAAATCCCTCCTGTCAGCACAGTTTCCACATCCATTTAGGGAAAGGCTTAGAGGCATGGAAATCGCAGAATGCCGCCACCCCAACAAGAGAAAGATTTAAATCCCACTGCCATTGAGGGCCCAGAGTTTTTTTAAGGGATCAAGCCACTAAGATCCTGAGCCTCCGGTTATTTGTGTGAGCCATATGTTCTCCATTCATCCTTTCACAGGAGATGGCCACCCAGCCTGGACAGCCTTGGCCTCAGACCCTAGATTCCTGAGCCCCCATCCACCCATGCAGGGCAGCCAGGACCTTCATGGAACCTCAAACCCAGCCTTTGGGTAAGGGGTGAGGGGTGAGGGAAGAAGAAAAATGGATCCACTATGCCTTTGGAAGAAGGGCTAGTGTCATCGTATTCTGTTTTTTTGGCAATGGCAGCAACCAGGATGACCAGGCCTTTGTGGATGCCCCTCCTCCCCTCCCTGTGCAGGCCCTGAACTGTGGGTGTTAGGCAGACCTCACCCCATCCTCACATCATCCCCCTCTTCAGCTGGAGAAACTGAGGTTCAGAGAGACCAGGAAACATTGATAGATGGTGGCAGAACCAGGTCTGAATCTGATTTTTCCTAAATTTCCAACTCCTTTTCCTTTGCCAAGACCCTGAGCAGTGGATAAGGGTCACTGCATGGCTGGAAAGCAAAGCTGCTGCTGCATCCAGTGAAACAGAACCACAATGCAGACCCAGGAGGGATGGCCAAGGCAGGGGTACCGAGGAGGCAGCAGATGGGGAAGGAAGCTACCAGAGAGGGTTCCAGGTTGAGACCCACAGGGGCCCGACGGTGCTGACCAGGGCACAGCTCAGACTCCCACAGCCCAGAACCTGGTTTATTCTTCAGCTCTCAAAGGAGAAGGGCCTCTCTTGGCAAGAAAGAATGGCAGTCATGTGGTCAGGAGGCCGACGTAGGCAGCAGGCCAGGAGGAGTAGGAATAAAGTTGGGAGGCTGAGAGCTGGGAGAACAGAACGAAACCAACAACAGCCAAGAGGAAACAGACTCCACAGACATTCAGTACATAGAGACAAAAAGCAGCAGAAAACAGGGACCGGTCTTTGTAAAAGCAGCTGCTGGGCAGAATCACTGTTCTATGTTCATGCCTTGGTGGGGTGAGGCAGGGAAGGCTTCCGGGTTCGAAGAGGTCTTCACAGTGTGTGTGTGTGAGGGTGACCCTGTGTACTGTGTGTGCCCGTGAAGCCACACATGCAGTGTGTGGTTTGTGTGTGAGTGTGAGTGACCATGTATGAGAGTTTGTGGGTAAACAGGACTTCTAAGAAAAGGAGCTATCCTAAAGAGAAAAATCGCCTTAAGAGTGTAATTGGAAAGGGTCATGACATTTTATTCTTTCTTGTTTGTATAGCTTGACCCTTGCATGTCAATAATGAAAGCAATTTGGAAAAATAAGTCCGAGGCTTGGCTGAAATGTTCATAGGGAGGTATCGCCCCATTGACCATCTGACCATGTGTGTGTGTCCTCGTGGATGAGAAAGGCCCAGAACCACGTTCCCTGTCCTTTTCCCCAGCCTCAGCTCAAGAAATGTTTTACTTCCTTGTAATGTATGTGTTCATCTTTTCCCACTTTAACACCTCATGGGCTGGATTTCAACAAAATCTTTTTCCCACTAAAAGTCAGAGCCCAGCTGTGCCCAGGCTCATGCAGGGAGCTGGGAATGAGACTGGTCTTCTGAGGAAAAGTGACAGAGGTGCTGCAACAGACCCCAGCAAAGTGGGATCCCTGAGCCCCCCTGAGGGACTTGTGCTGAACCCCGTTCTTAGGGAACAGCCAGTTTGGAGCACATTTTCTCCAGTCTTAGTAAATCAGGAACCTACATGCTAGTCTTGGGAAGCCACTAGCAGGTGGTGTGACTTACTCATGCCTCTGAGCCATTTCAGCATCAGTCAAATGAGTTGATTTGGGCAGTTTCCCAGTGTGTGCTCTGTGGAGTAGGAATCCCACAAGACAGTCCAAGACACTGGATTTTTTAGTTGTTTCTGAGAAACACTGCACAATTCATCCCTCTCTTCAAGATTCACAGCACCTGTGTGCATAACAAAGGTTCTAGACTTTCTGCCGGAAAGACATCTGTTGGAAATGGTCTAAACCAGGGTTTTCCACGCTTCAGTAACCCTGGAACCCCATTTCACGCAACAGCCATTCACATTTCCAAAACTTAGAGCTCAGGGGCCTTGCTGGGCCAGAGGACCTCTAAGTCTCCTTCCAGTTTAACAGCCTGTTGTTCTGGCAACAAAACTAGGATGTGTCTTCCAGAGCAGGATGTCTTTCCCATCCTGCTGGAGGGTTTTGATCTGTTTGCCTTCCGCTGAGTAGGACTAGGCCCCAGAGAGAGTAACTGTAGTCTGGGAACAGTGGCTCATGCCTGTAATCCTAGCACTTTGGGAGGCCAAGGTGGGTGGATCACTTGAGGTCAGGAGTTTGAGACCAGCCTGGCCAACATGGTGAAACCTCATCTCTACTACAAATATAAAAATTTGCCAGGCATGGTGGTGCCCGCCTATAATCCCAGCTACTCAGGAGGCTGAGGCAGGAGAATGGCTTGAGCCCAGGAGGCCGAGGTTGCAGTGAGCCAAGATTGTGCCACTGTACTCCAGCCTGAGTGACAGAGAGAGAATCCATCTCAAAAACAAACAAAATAAGAGAGAGTAATTACCTCTCCCAGAGCAGCAGTCACCATTGGGACAGTGGAAGTAGGGGCTGTAACTCTTATTTATTTTCAGTTTTTTTCCTAAAAATAAGAAGTCAATCAAACTTTAATTTAACATACATATTTATAACAGCACATGCATGTAATTTGTAAATAAATATGCATGTATTAGAGGTACAGTTTCAAAAAATTATTGACAGCAGTTCATGATCAAAAATGTTTGGAGATCACTGACCTAGAAAATGTGCCTCAATATATTAATTTATATTCCAAACCACTAGTTTATCTGATGCTTAGTAGAATGGAAAATAAATGTATAACGTGCCACACATGGTGTTTATATCTTAGCTGCTTGTTCTGTTCTTATCTCCATGTCTAACAGTCCTTACTTCAAGCCTGGAGTATCATGCTTCATATGTCAATTCAAAATAAACTTACTAAGGAACTTAGATTAGTAACGTGATGATTTTGAATGCAGATCCTGGGCCAGTATTTCTTGGGAATGTCTCCATTACATCGTGAAATAGCATTCACTGTTGTCCACACATGCATTTCTGATAATTAAGCAAATTTCTGAACACCTCTTCTAAGATTCAAAAAAGCTAAATGAAACCCAATATCATTATAAAGTTATTCTCTAGCAAATTTAAGGAAGACAATATTTGAGGAAGACAACTCCCATATACATTTTTTTCTTAATAGTTCAGCCTAGGCTCCTATATACAGTTCTCCCCAAAATACTTGAGTGTAATTATCTAGCAGGTCACCAGTTGTGAACTTTGAGAAACAAAGCAGCACAAAGTGATTTGTACAAAGAATGATTTTACCCACTAAGTCTCCACTATATTTGCCTCGAATCAAAATGCTTTGGCTGAATACAGGCATTCGAACGAAAGTCTCACCCCAGTCCAGTTCTGCCCTCAGTGCTTGTGACACGTAGAGTCTGTGTGCCCAGTGAGAGGCTGAGTTCAGTGAAGTAGCTGTGTTCTCATAGGGCAACCTCAAGATAGGATCTGCAGCCCCTCTGGGCAGCCATTCCACTGTGCCACTGCTGCTGCTACCATGCAGGGTAACCTCCCTCCTCTCCCACCCGTGGCTTTACCTTGGCTTGGGCGTCTCCACCTGCCCTGTCCATCGCTTCCTCTTGGGCTTTCTGCTCTCCACAAGAACCATCAGGCAAAACAAGAACAAAATGAGTCTTGTAAAATAAAGCATTTTGTGGACGTCTGTGAGGCAAAAAGCTGCTTTCCAGTAGCCTGTGGCGGAGTAAATCCCCCCCAGCTTGACCATTGATCCGTCTGCTGCCTCCTGATGGGCTGCTCAGAGGGGCTGTGAGGGCAAGACTGGCCAGGCTGGTTGTCCCGATTTACTATTTGATACTGATGCCCCACTCACCCCCTCCACTCCAGGCCGTGACACAAACACCAGGCTTTGCCCTCCCTGCTGATTAGTGATTGGCCATTAGTCAAGAAGTTTGTCCTCTCATGAAATTCTGCTTCCGCTGAATCCTAGAATAGCTTTGGCTAAAGCTGTTATATAAAAATTTAAATCCTTTGAACATGCCAGCTTTGTGCTGAGATTATTGATCCATCTTCTGGCTGCATAAAACCAGTCTGTTCCATCTACCAGGGTGTCAGCTTGGACTCCAAGTAGATTTGCAGAGAGGACTTGGTGGATGTTTAGATGGGTACATAAATGTGTTCAGGAAATGCTGAGTAAACATGAATGACCTGTTTCCTTACGGTTGATTTACTTGTGGAGCTAAGAGAATATGCTTTACCTATGAGCAAGGATACTTCCTTTCTCACAAACACAGATCAGTTTTTTCCAGCTTTTATATCAAAGTATAAAACACATTTTTAGTTTGAAGGATGGCATAAATCAAAGAATTCATAACTCTGTAAGTGTTTTTTCCTACAATGAGCATTAAATTAACTTTGGTCTTTAACCCTAAAATGTATCAAATCAAACATCATGAATTAGGCTTAATTCCTATCCTGGGATATGGAATTAAGCACATTAGAATTGTAGAGACGCATGTGGTTATGTCTAACCTACTGAACAACATGGAATAAGTTTAAGAACTACTCACTGCTTGCTATGTCCTGGCAATGGAAAAATTCGTGGGAGAACCATAGGGAGATGAGGGTGGAGATCAGAAGGTGGGATAGCTGTAAGTGAAACAGAATTGGGATTTTACTGTGTATAAAAGAATCAGAAGAAGCTCTTTGATTCCTTTAAGCAAAGTGAGATGACATGATCCACTTTATTTTTTAAAGAATTCCTAATTGAGATCAATTGGATCAGAGAACTTATGATGACAAAAGAGAATGAGGTCCTGCTCTGAGGAAAGGGAAGAGGGGAGAAGAGAAAGGAAGACAGAGGAGTGAGAAACTCAAGTTAGTTCAGAGGTAGCATACATTTGGTGCCTGTGCAAACAGAGTAGGAGGTGAGAGAGAGAGAGAAAGTCAGGAATAGTATCAAGGATTCTAGCGTGGAGGTGGGTTTGGTGGATGGTACCACCATTAACTGATATTTATTAGAGGTGGACAAGTTTGATGAGGAGATGAGATCAATTTTGACTTGTGGTATTTGAGTCTGAGGGACCTCTGATGCCCAATAAGAAGCTAGAGTATTGGCCGGGCGCAGTGCTTCACACCTGTAATCCCAGCACTTTGGGAGACCAAGGCAGGTGGATTACCTGAGGTCAGGAGTTCAAGACCAGCCTGGCCAACATGATGAAACCCTGTCTCTACTAAAAATACAAAAATTAGCCGGACGTGGTGGCATGTGCCTATAATCCCAGCTACTCAGGAGGCTGAGGCAGGAGAATGAACCTGGGAGGGAGAGGTTACAGTGAGCCAAGATCATTCTAGCCTGGGTGACAGAGCAAGACTCCATCTCCATTAAAAAAAAAAGTTAGAGCTGAGCCTGGAGCTCAGGAGAAAGGTCTAGACTAGAGAAATAGATATGGTAGATATGGAGCTGTAGAGACCAAGCGAAAGTTTTCCCTTTGTCCCATAAAGGATCACTGAAAAATCAACTGACAAAAAAGAAAAGTAATAGGAGAAAAGGCATACAAATTTATTAACATGCATGGGGTAAAATCACATCATGATTATCCAATTACCCAGCATGAAACAGACGTTTATATGCTCTTTTTCATAAGGAAGAGATGGAGGATGTAGACAATTCTTTTGAGGGACAGTTTTCTGCACAGTAAAAGAAACAATCAACAGAGTAAACAGACAACCCACAGAGTAAGGAAAAATCTTTGCAAACTATGCATCAAAAGGCTAATATCCAGAATCTACCAAGAACCCAAACAACAACAACAACAACAACAAAAACAAGCAACTCCATTAAAAAGTGGGCAAAGGACAAGAACGTTTTTCAAATGAAGACACACCAGCAGCCAACAAGCATATAAAATAAAATGCTCAATATAACCATCAGAGAAATGCAAATTAAAACCACAGTGAGGTACATTTTTCACTAGTCAGAATGGCTGTTATTATAAAGTCTAAAAACAAAAGATGTTCACGAGAATGCAGAGAAAATTCCACTGTTAGTGGGAATGTGAATTAGTACAACCTCTATGGAAAACAGAATGGATAGTTCTCAAAGAACTAAAAATAGAACAACTATTCAATTCAGCAATCCCACTGAAAGGGAAAAAGCATTGTATCAAAAAGATACCTGCACTCATATGTAACAACAGAGCAGGAGCTTCACCATCTTGGACAAACACCGCCATTTTAAGTTTCACTTGATTTAAAAAAAGAAAAAGCCTGCTTAAATCCAGCCCCAAAACATCAGTCTAATGGCTAATGTCAGAATAACCAGAAACATTCCAAGGCTAAACTAAACTCCACTCTGACCATAAACATGCCAACTCAGAGATAGCCTCCCCTCTAACCAGAGACATTCCAACCCCACAATAACCTTTCTTTTACATAGAAACATTCCAAACCTATGATAAGCTCCCCTCTTCTTAAATTCCTAAATATCCTTAGTCTATAAGAAACAACGCTCCTGACCAAAATCAGCCAGAAGCGCTTCTCAGATTTATTCTTCAAAATAAACCTGTTTTTGACTGTTGAGCCACTTTTCATGTTTTTTTTTCTTTTTCTTTAACTCTTACAATGTTTATCACAGCACTATTTATGAGAGCAAAGATACGAAATTGATGCACTGCCTCCTGCACTAAGGAGGCAACTTCCATAGCAAAGATATAGAATCAACCTAAGTGTCCATCAACAAAGGATTGGATAAAGAAAACGTGGTATATATTTATGCCATGGGATGCTTTTTAGCCATGAAAAAGAATGAATCACATCTTTTGCAGCAACATGGATAGAACTAGAGGCCATGATCCTAAGTGAAATAACTTAGAAAGTCAAATACTTCATGTTGTGTAAGTGGGAGCTAAACAATGGATATACATGGACATACCCAGTAGAATAATAGAAACTGAAGACTTCAAAAGGTGGAAAGGTGGAAGGGGGATGACGGTTGAAAAATTACCTATTGGAGACCAGGTGTGGTGGTTCACAACTGTAATCCCAGCACTTTGGGAGGCTGAAGAGGGTGGATCACCTGAGGTCAGATGTTTGAGACCACCCTGGCCAACATGGTGAAACCCCATCTCTATTAAAAATACGAAAACTTAGCCAGGCAATGTGGCAGGTGTCTGTAATCCCAGCTACTTGGGAGGCTGACAGGAGAATGCCTTGAGCCAGGGAGGTGAAGGCTGCAGTGAGACAAGATCGTGCCATTGACTTCAGCCTGAGTGACAAGAGCAAGACTGTCTCAAAGACAAAAAGCAAAAATAAAAATTACCTGTTGGGTACAGTGTTCACTAATTGGGTGATGGGTACACTGAAGGCTCAGATATCACCACTATGCAGTATATATGCATGTAAGAAATCTGTACTTGTACCCTCTAAATATATAAAGATAAAAGACAAATGGGATCTAATTTAACTAAAGAGCTACTGTACAGCAAAAGAAACAATCATTAGAGTGAACCGGCAACCAACAGAATGGGAAAAATTTTTTCCATCTACCCATCTGACAAAGGGCTAATATCCAGAATCTACAAAGAACAAAATAGATTTACAAGAGAAAAACAAACTCATTCAAAAGTGGGTGAAGGACATGAACAGACACTTTTCAAAAGAAGACATTTATAAGGCCAACAAACATGAAGAAATGCTCATCATCACTGGTCATTAGAGAAATGCAGGTCAAAACTACATTGAGATACCATCTCACACCAGTTAGAATGGCGATCATTAAAAAATCTGGACACAACAGATTCTGGAGAGGACGTAGAGAAATAGGAACACTTTTACACTGTTGTTGGGAGTATAAATTAGTTCAACCATTGTGGAAGATAGTGTGGCGATTCCTCAAGGACCAGAAATAGAAATTCCATTTGACCCTGCAATCCCATTTCTGGGTATATATCCAAAGGATTATACCTTGTTCTATTATAAAGACTTGCACACGTATGTTCGTTGCGGCACTGTTTACAATAGCAAAGACCTGGAACCAACCCAAATGCCCATTGATGATAGACTGGACAAGGAAAATATGGCACATGTGCACCATGGAATACTAAGCAGCCATAAAAAAATGAGTTTGTGTCCTTTATAGGGACATGGATGAAGCTGTAAACCATCATTCCCAGCAAACTGACACAAGAACAGAAAAATGCCGCATGTTCTCACTCATAGGCAGTTGTTGAACAATGAGAACACATGGACACAGAGGGGAGCATCACACACTGGGGTCTGTTGGGGGGAAACAGGGGAGGGACAGTGTGAGACAGGGAGAATGGGGAGGGATAACATGGGGAGAAATGCCAGATATTGATGACAGGGGGATGGAGGCAGCAAACCACATTGCCATGTATGTACCTATGCAACAATCCTGCATGTTCTGCACATGTACCCTAGAACCTAAAGTGCAATTATATATATATATAAAATGCTGCTATATTTGTTTACAAGTTTGCATATAAATATGTTTTCATTTCTTTTGGACATTTTATGTGGCAGTGAAATTGCTGAGTCATATGGTAACTTTATGTTTAACTTTTTGAGGAACTGCCAAATTGTTTTTCAAAGTGGCTCTGCCATTTTACTTTCCTACTAACAATGTATCAGAGTTCCAGTGTCTCCATATCCTCACCAATACTTCTATCTGGCTTTTTTGTTCTGACCATCCTTTTGAGTGTAAACTGGGATCACTGTGGTTTTGATGTGCATTTCCCTAGTGACTAAGGATGCTGAGATTTTCACATGCTTAGTTGACATTTGTGTATCTTCTTTGTAGAAATGTCTATTCAAATTGTTTGCCATTTTAAAATCAGGTTATTTCCTTTTTATTACTGAATTGCAATTCTTTAGATATTTCAGATGCAAGTCCCTTATCAGATATGTGATCTGCAAATATTTTCTCCCATTCTGTGTTGTCTTTTAACTTTCTTAATGGTGTTGAGATGCAAGAATTTTTTATTTTGATGAAATATAATTTTTCTTTTGGTTGCTTGTGGGTTGTTCTGTTTTGCTTTGTTTTGAAGAGATAGGGTCTTGCTCTGTGGCCCAGGCTGGAGTGCTGGGTGCAATGGGGCTATCATAGCTTCCTGTAATCTTGAACTCCTTGATTCAGGCAATCCTCCCACCTCAGTCTCCTGCATGGCTAGAGCTACAGGCTAATTTTTTTTAATTTTTAAAATTTTTGTATAGACAGGGTCTTGTTATGTTGTCCAAGCTGGTTTCAAACTCCTAGCCTCAAGTGATCCTCCCACCTTCACCTCCCAAAATGCTGAGATTATAGGCATGATCCACCATGCCAGACCTACTTGTGCTTTTGATGTCCTATTTAAGAAACCACTACATATTCCATCGTCACGTTTACTATGTTTCTAATAATCTTAGAGTTTTAACTCTTACATTTAGACCTTTGATCCATTTTGAATTAACTTTCTATATGGTGTGAGGTAGCGGATAATATTGCTTTATTTGCTCATTTTTCTCAGGGCAGGGTATAGCCCCAGTAGATCAAGGTCAGAGCTGTGGGAAGGCCCCAGAGGCATTTGCTGAGGTCTGATTATGCCAGAAACCTAGGCGGGACTGTAGTCACACACAGCATTGTGCTTTATGTTAAGGGTCTGGCCCGATCTAAGCGCCAATAGGAGAGAAGGGGTCAGGTCTGTATACTGAAGACTCTGGCTGCAATGTAAGGAATGGGGTGAGGCTAGAGACCTGTTAGGAGGTTATTGCACCAATTCGGAGGAGTTAATATCTAAATAGGGTAGTGCCTAGTTGGGGAAATGGAAAGATGTGAGAGAAATATTCCAGGAGGTAGAATGGATGAGAGACAAGACTGAATGACGTAAAGAATACAACCTTTGGTCAAAAACAAGGTATGAATAAAGTCACTGGTTTTATTGAGCAGCTCAAACTACTTTTGAAGGCAACTGTTCAAAAGATGTTCCCAATAGCTTTTGAGCAATGCACAGCCTCCCATAAAAGCTTTAAAAGTACATCTGTAAATGTGCACGTCTTTATTAGTCAGGTTCACTAGATGCATTAACCTTACATATACTTACTTGCAATTAAGAAAGCACAGGCTTTTCAGTATTTCAGCCTAGGTTTTTGTTCAGAGTCCAAATGTGACTTGTTTATGAGTCTAAATGTTTACTTGTTTTCTGATTCTGATCTATAAAAATGGGTGGTCTCAAGAGACCAGAAAGTTTATTCATGGCCAAAAATGACAGAGTTCTTATTCTCCTGAAATAGGAAACTTTGTATTTCCATAGTTAAAATAACAATTATCGTAATTTAAAAAAAAAAAGTTGAGAATCTTGAAATTCATTTATTCAGAATAAAATAAGCAGCATGAAAATGTAAAGTGCTAAATAAAAGCCCCATATTAAATAATTTTGAAAAGTTCATTGGCTTAAAGTTATAAGTGAAATAGATTATGTATTTTTTCAATAAGCATGCTATTTTAATTGCTTTGATATCTCATCATATGCTATATTGGTCAAAGAAAAAGTCATGAGTTATCTACATCTGAGGATTAAAGTAAGGAGTCCTCAGTCTTTACTTGCCAGAATATATATCCTTAAGTTTTGGCCTTGTGCTGGAATTGAGGAGTTAAAGCAGAACTTTAAAAATAATAGTTTTCTGGAGACTTTTCAGTGGGGCTTGGACAAGAAGGCTCCAAAGACCGATTTTGCTCATTAACCTCACATCGGGGGGGGGGGGGTCAGATTGACAATTTGATTTTTAGGGAGCATATGTGAGGCGAAAGGGAAGAAGAAAATGGTGCCACTTTCAGATGGTGCATCAGGTGCTAAAAAATATCCCAACACAAACAAGCAGGTAGCTACTTGACAGGTGAGGGAAGAGATGCAAGTCAGAGAGAGAAGGATCTGCAAAATGCAAAATCTTCTTGGCTTTTTTTTTTTTTTAACTTAGCAGTGAATGCAGCAGGATTGGCTTAAAGTATAGGTACACCCCATGGAAACATGCAACAAGATCACACTGATCCAGAGGCTGGCTCAGGTTTGACTGAGGGGAAATGGAAGGAAGACTGTTCCTAGCACACAATTAATCTCAGCAGAGGTTAAAGTGGTGGGGATTCCTTTCTTCTCATATGATACTACCTGGTTTTCCCAGCTGGGTCAGTGACTTCTTGCTAGGAAACCACTGAGCACTGAACCAATATCTCTAGTATGTTTCACATCAAGATTTTAGAATGTATTTTATCATGGCAATAAAGTCATAAATGGTAACCTATGATTTTCCCCACATGAGTTCTTCATAAAGTCCTTGAGCTTTTTAGACTTTATCAATTTCAGTACAGATATAAAAAACAATCTATAAACACCTTTAAAATGCTAATTTATTAAAGTTTAAGACAATTCTGTATTATATAATAGTGTACAATATGTTCTTATTTTAGATGTAGAAATAAAAGAAAACTGGCTCTCAGATGAAAACAGAAATTGTGTCTGACAGTTTTAATAGAACCAATGTTCCATAAACAGGAATAAAAATTAAATCTGCCTTTAAAATGATTTTACAAATTGTTTCTCTTATCCATAATTTCAGTTGGTTAAAACAACATAAGGACTTTATGAATACCCTCCCCTATCCAAGATATACACATATGAGCTAACTTTTGTGGACTGATCTAGAACCTAAACACAATTTCCAACATTGTTTGACTTGTAAAAAAATTAACTTACAAACACCCATTTGGAGCATAACCTATTTGAAAGCTTGGGACTACCTACATTTAAAAATTAAATCTTCATTAACAACACCCTCAAGAGTGCCTTCAGTGCTGCGAACTGAACATGCTGAAGGCAAGGTTTTTCTGTGATTACATGGTCTCACCAGGCATTATAATGAGAATATTATCTATTAGAGTCTGTGGAGCTAGCTAGCACTAAGTTATATATTGATTTTTCAAAATTCTTTCTTGGGCTCTGACTAGGTAGACAATTCTGAACATGCTGAAGGCAAGGTTTTTCTGTGATTACATGGTCTCACCAGGCATTATAATGAGAATATTATCTATTAGAGTCTGTGGAGCTAGCTAGCACTAAGTTATATATTGATTTTTCAAAATTCTTTCTTGGGCTCTGACTAGGTAGACAATTCTAAGTAAATGTTTTTCTAACTTCTATCACTGCTACCTGGGCCCTGAGGTTTTCTATTAAAATAGTACATGAAATATTTCAATATTATGCATATTCCTGGAATTAAAATTTATAGTGATTATAAAGCTAGGCATATAATACATCTCAAAAGACATACATTTCAAAGCAGAGCAAACATTCAAATCTTAAGATCTCCCCATTTAACTTCTGGGAAGAAAATAAAGCGATCTCCTAGCTTGGACCCTTTCTTCCTTAAAACAAAAATCTATGGAAGACTGTTTTACTTCTTGTTAAATTTGTGTGAGTATGGCAACAGGGGTCAGGGGGTGGTGATAACAGCATATCAAAGTGGTTACAAAGTACTCCCTCTTCAAGTAACATCCAGTGACAAAGATGTGATCTCATTTCCTCATAAATGTTTGACTGAAATAAAGTTTTTTCACTGAAGAATGTTGAGGACACAAAGTCACAGAATGAGCAATCCCAGTAAATCTCCTACGAATGACTTTTTTTAAGGAAACTACTTGAGTTTTGCTTACCCTTTTCAACTGTTTTAACCCTATACATTCTAAATACGTAGAAATAGAGTACTCAATAAATGGTATTGAGTAACTAGTAATACTCACTGGAACTTAAAACATCATCTTTTATCCAAAAATTTCAAAGGGCAATACAGGAAAGTATTACAAATTTACATAAAAAGAAGGCGATGCATGAGAAAAAATAACAAGTTATTTCCCTGAAAAGCAGATCAAATAGTGAGACAAGGAACTTTGACTTCCAGTCCCTTACACTAAGCAGGACATAACTGCTAGACATAGTCTGAATGTCTAGATATATTTATACTAAACTTATAAGGATCAAAAAAGGAATGAAGGGTAAATACAAAATAATCTTTTTGTAAACAATTCTTACATTATACCCAATGCAGAATGTTTAATGAAGCAGTTGAGTCACAGCTCTTAAGTCACAAAACAATATTATAACTCAAAGTCAAATATGTATTCATTGGCCAGATATATTCGTCGGAATATAAGAGCGGCCAATGCCAAAGTCAGGATGACAATCAGTACAGCTGATCCACCATGATCAGTGTGGTTGTCTCTTGGCTGGTGGCCCTGGATTACATCTGGTGAAGTAGATGACCTTCTCTGACTCTGCTGCTGGGCCCGGCGCTGTCGAGGGCTCATGGAAGTATTCTTAGCTACAGGCTGGGTAGGTTGTTGAAAGGATGCTGCTGAGGAATTCTGGACTCCATTCTAGGAAATTTTAAGAAATTTTGTTTGAAACTGGCAAAGAAGATTTGTATAAATGCTTGTTATCTATTCAAGAATACATAGAATCTCAGAGTACAACATATGGCTAAAGGCAACACTACCAGTAATGATAGTTACTAATAATGTATCCTTTCGGAGGCATCTAAATTTAGGTTAAAAAAAAAAGTTGTAACTCAGGACAGCTTTCTGGCCTTTTATTAGTTTTATTGATATATTTAGAAAAACAATCCCTTAAAACATTGACCCTAGATGATATTTTAACACATACACTTACTGAAAGTATTTATATACATATAATGTTTTAATTAGGTTCCTGTGTTTCAGATGCCTTTGTCTCTATTTTTTTTAATCATTATATTTTTAGGGATGGGATCTTGCACATTGCCCAGGCTGGTCTTGGACTCCTGGGATCAAGCAATCCTCCTCCTTGGCCTCCCAAAGTGCTGGGATTACAGGCATGAGACACTGTGCCCAGCCTCAGATGCCTTGTGGATGGTATAACACTGACTAAAAATTGAGTACCTTGATAAAATTCTAAAATGTTTCCTATTTCAAACAATCATACAGCCCTTTGGGAGGTTGAGGCAGGAGGACTGCTTGAGCCCAGGTGTTTGAGACCAGCCTGGCCAACAGAGCAAGACACTATCTCTACAAAAAAATTTAAAAACTTAGGTGTGGTTGTGCCCATCTGTGGTCCTGGCTACTTGAGAGGCTGAGGCAAGGAGGATCACTTGAGCTGAGGAGTTTGAGTCTGCAGTGAGCTATGATCACACGCAGCACTCCAGCCTGAGCAACAGAGCAAGACTCTGTCTCATAAAAAAAAAAATCACATTCTTAGTTAAGTCCCTAGTGATATATATACTTATATATATACACATACAAATTTTTCTATAATAACCTAGAATAACCAGCATGTGTGAGGGAGTTTTGCTTTTTAATATAAAATGAAATGGCTTATTTCAGAACCTCAATCCCTGGGAAAAGGGGAAAATCTGATAGATTCCAAGAACAAAACTGCCATTAGTGTTTTTCCCACTTCTGCATTTCCCATTACTTCTTGATGCTAAAATAACTGCAACAAAAATCAGCAGATGGCCTGATGTTATCAGCTGTATTTAGAGTTTTAACAATCTCTTGCTCCTCCTCAAGGCTAACAACAACAAAAAAAAAAATCATAGCTTATCTGGGATTTGATGTATAACATATCAATGAATTTATATTACATTTAATGTAAAGTAATCACCCTTAGCCAAACTGGTTTCAGTTACTTTCACAGTGGTAAATTACATAATCATACTCTGAGATAGTTTATATGTAAATATAATTAAAAGCTTAACTTGCAATTGTAGACAACTGATTGCTTGTTGGTATTTTAACCAAAAATGGTATCAATTAATGACCTATATCTATGAATAAGAATTCTAAGTTTTATGTAGATTAAAATCAAAATGAGAAATACTACTATAATAACATCATTGTTTGTATACTCTAATTTACTTCTTGATTTATTTAATTATATTCCTAGCATTTTTTAAAGTGTCAATCCTAAGATTCATTCATTCAATCAACAAATAAACACTGACAATCTACTGTATAGAAGGCACTAAGCCAGGCACTGGGGATACAGTGGAGAAGTTGAAAGAGACCCCTCACCTTCAAGGGACTTACATTCTGGGAAGAGAGATAGACAATAAATAATTACAAAGTAAATTACAACTGGAATAAGTATAACTGGAATATGTAACAAGGGGGACTTAACATAGATTTAAAATACACAAAGGATTTAAATACATCACAAACATTAGGAGGCTGTCCTAAAAGGTAAAAAAAGATTATCACCTTCCTTAAGAAAACTATGAAATAGAAAGTAATTAGAAAGCTTTTTTAGTATTTTAAACTAAAACATACTGACTTTAAAATTAATTTATTATTTTCCTCTGCAATTCATAAATTACACTGGGATCACATAAAAATGATTAAACTGATCCCCACATGCTTTTTTCTTGGACCTCCATCTTCAGTCCCCTATAGTACCACCCTCTCCCTTGTTCTTCAACAAACTTTTCCCTGCCCAGCTCACTCTCTGAATAGTAGAGACTTACTCAAAACTATTCAGTCCCACTTTATACAAGTTATTGCTGGGTAAAAGGCAAATATGCATCTGTCCAACTTCTATTTCAATTTCCCTTCACCCTTTAAAGTCCTCAATAAACTGAAGAAACAACAACAAAAAGGATGTGATTACTTAACCGAACAATCTGTTAGAAAAGACCTCAAAAGACGGTTCATCTTTTATATATAGGAAGGAAAATCATTTTTCCCTCATTATCCTAATTCTTTGGCACCAATCCAGTCATATTTTTTTAATCAGTCTCTCTGATCACCTAGGCCAACCAATTTCTTAGACAATAGGTCAGGGTACACTAACAACACCCACAGCATTCATTCTTCTATTCAACAATTATTTATTGGACACTTACTATATACGAGGTTGCACTGTCCAACAGAACTTTGTGATGATAGTAATGTTTATGTCTACACTTTCTAATATGGTACCCATTAACCACGTGTCTATGAAGCACTTGAAATGTGGCTAGCGTGACTGAGGAACTGAATTTTACATTTTATTTGATTTTGATTAATTTAAATTTAAATGTAGATAGCTGCATGTGGCTGGTGGCTAATGTGTTGGACAGAGCAAGTCTAAGGCAAATTTTTGGCTCTAGGACTTTATTAAGTCAGTACCTTAATGCAGCTGAACAATCCTACCAAAAATAGTGTCTATTTAGAAAGTGGCTAACATATGGATATTTTGTTTTATTCAGAGTCTAAAACTATATGAAAATTAACTTTTCAGAGAATCATAGAATTCTGGAGGGACAAGACAAAAATTAAATCCAGCCCCATTTAACAAAAAAGAAAAGTGAGGCCAGAAAACATGAACAACTTGCTCAACATAATATGATTAATTAGAGGGACTGTTAGAATCCAATTGTTAAGAGAACCAAATTTTTCAGATATTTAATCTAGGATCTTCTCCTATTCCAAACAATGATAATGATAGAGACATACATATATATTAAAAGATAAGAGCCATACCGATGTACTGGCCGTAGCACCCTGGAATGTTGTAGGTATATCATCTTGTAAATCAGTTAGTGAAAAGGAAGGGTTTAAGTCTGACTCAGTGATAGTCTTTCCAGATGAACTGACTTCTGCCTATAAATAAGATAGACCCAAGAGCAGCATTACAACAGGAAACAACAGGAAACACAGAATAATCTGCAACCTGCTAAATCCCCTCTATCGGATTTATTTTAATTGCTAGTTTAATATCTATTATCAGGCAGTTAAGCACTGAGTACTCTTTTGTCCAACACTGTACTAGGTATCATAGGAAGAAGCATGAACAACACCTGTTCTCAAGAAACCATTATTTGATGAGGAATCAAACTAACACCCATGGTTCACAATCCACAATGCTAAAACCCTCTCAAAACTCAAGGTTTTTTTGGTAATTTTTAGGCAAAGTCTGACATGAGCTGATGTGAAGCTATGAATAGTCTTTATCCCACATTAATGTAAATACTAATCCCACATTAATATAATATTCAAGGGTTTGCTGAGGAAATCCTAACGGATTTGATTATGAGGTACTGCCCCAGATATCATTGCAGGTTAATGTATGGTATATGTAAATCTTTTCCTAAGTTTGAAAAATTCTGACGTACAAAATGCATTTGGTCCTGAGATTTTTCAGAAGCAATTTTAAGTGTAATAGGAATCCTCTGAAGGAAGAAAGTAACCAGCATGTTCTGAGCAACTCCTCTTCCAGACACTACAATAAAAGAGAAGGCCATTGGACCTGGAAAGATAGTCCAGAGAGAAGTGGAGAGGGAGGAAGAGAGAGCATGTTGCTTAATGCAGGCTGACATTTCTTTTTGTGAAGGTGATCAAATTCCAGAAGGATTAAATGCTTAATACTTTATTTTTTATTTATTTATACATATTTTTTTGAGATGGAGTCTCACTCTGTCCCCCAGGCTGGAGTGCAGTAGCCCAATCTCGGCTCACTGCAACCTCCGCCTCCCAGTTCAAGCAATTCTCCTGCCTCAGCCTCGATTACAGGTGCCCGCCACCACGCCCAGCTAATTTTTTGTATTTTTAGTAGAGGTGGGGTTTCACCATATTAGCCAGGATGGTCTCAATCTCCTGACCTCATGATCTGCCCTCCTTGGCCCCTCAAAGTGCTGGGATTACAGGCATGAGCCACTGCGCCTGGCTAATACTATAAATAGTTAAATATTTACTACTACTATATAATCCTATGTTCGAGTAAAACATATACAGGAAAAAAGGGATATATGGGAGGTATGCCAAAATATTAACAGTAGCTATTTCTTGAGGATGTGTTTATGAATGTCATTTTCTTCTTATTGCTTATCTATAATCTCTATAATAATAGGTAGAATTTATTAAGCACCAGGGACAATTTTTAATGCAACTCATGTATTACATATATTAATTCAGTCCTCACAACAATCTTATAATATAGGTACCATTATTATTTGTAGATAAGAAAAAGGTGCAGAGTGGTTAATATGTCTGACATCATACCACTAATAAGCAATAGAGCTGGGATTTGAACCCTGGCATTGTATACCAGAGTTCAAGTTTCGACCACTCACTATGCTATAAAGCTTTCGTGAATGTAGTCATGAATTTTGTAATAAGAAAAAAACTGTGCCAGTATTAAAACATTTCATGTACCCTATATACATATGTACACCTACTATGTAACCACAGAAATTAAAAATTAAAATTAAAAATTAAACAAAATATGAAAAAAGAACATTTGCAAAACTTTATATTGCAAAAGAACTGCATTGCTTTCCCTTCTATGCGGAATCTAGCAGTTAACAAAAGGGCTACAAGATTAGAATTTATTTAAGGATTTATAGTACCTTAAAACTGATTTGCCTCGCCAGTTCTTTGGCTTCTTGGTCAGCTTGGCTTGAATCACTTCCAGATTTTAAAGGCAACAGGACATCCTTCATGGCAGAGCCACATCCTTCACAACAGAAATCTTGTGATCTGGTAGAAAACAATTTTTTAAATGAAAACGAATCAAATAGTTAGATGTTTAATTCCTCTTACTGAGACACTCAAATGCTGAATCATCAAAATGAAAAGAAAGGAACGCTGGAAAATTCCGTATCACATTTATCCATATGCTACGAATTAGACAATTAATGCAATAATTATAGTCCTGAGACAAGTAAATGTTAGGTTGGCTTTTAAAAAATCCAGGGCTCAGATTCTATTTTTCCAATAAACTATCTAAAGAAAAATAAACAGCCAGGTGCAGTGGCTCACGTCTGTAATCTGAGCACTCTGGGAGTCTGAAGCCGATGAATCACAAGGTTAGGAGTTGGAGACCAGCCTGACCAACATGGCGAAACCCCATCTCTACCAAAAATACAAAATTAGCTGGGCATAGTGGCAGGCGCCTATAATCCCAGCTACTCAGGAGGCTGAGGCAGGAGAATCGCTTGAATCCAGGAGGCAGAGGTTGCAGTGAGCTGAGACTGCGTCACTGTACTCCAGCCTGGGTGATAGAATGAGACTCCATCCCCCCAAAAAAAAGAAAGAAAGAAAGCAAAAAAAGAAAAATAAGCTTTACATCTTTTTTTTGCCCCCGCCCCCCAGCTTCAAATCTATACGATGAAAAATTTGTCTATTATACTATCCTTGAGATCACATAAAACAAACCTCTTTTAAGCCTGTGAAAAAAGTCTTTTAACAAGAGCAACTTACCTGTTAGTAGGAACATATATAAAGTAGTAAAGAAGCCAATTAAACATAGAACTTACAGATATTTCTAGAAAATAAAAACCTTGGGCCGGGTGCGGTGGCTCACGCCTGTAATCCCAGCACTTTGGGAGGCCGAGGCAGGTGGACAAGAGGTCAAGAGATCGAGACCATCCTGGTCAACATGGTGAAACCCTGTCTCTACTAAAAATACAAAAAATCAGCTGGGCATGGTGGCGCGTGCCTGTAGTCCCAGCTACTCAGGAGGCTGAGACAGGAGAATTGCCTGAACCCAGGAGGCGGAGGTTGCAGTGAGCCGAGATCGCACCATTGCACTCCAGCCTGGGTAACGAGCAAAACTCCGTCTCAAAAAAAAAAATAAAAATAAAAATAAAGAAAAGAAAAACCTCACAAATAGCAGTATAACTTGAAAGACTTGGGAAAACTTGCAGAAAATCCAAAGACTTAATTTATTACTGATTATATATATTAAGTAGCCTCAAGATATGTCTTTTAACTAGACTATTTCCTAAAATGTGTTTGTTTTTCCATTTTTCCCTTCGTATTCCAGATAGAGCCAGAACTTCCTTGAAGTTTACAATAGTCCTATGAGGATATGAATGACTGAAAGTAAATACACATATATAGAAGTATATATTGTTACACTATTGAACTTCTTTTAAAAAATTGTTTTTCATAGTACTTCTAGTTCTATTCAAAAACTTCGGGTCTTGAAGAACATGCTAGTTAAAATTATGAAGTAACATCATATAAACAAAATATATGTAAAAGCAGCATAATTTAGTGTTTTGTTTTTTTTTTAGACAGGGTCTCCTTGTTCTGTCACCCGGGCTGGAGTACAGTGGCTCACTGCAGCCTCACCTCCCAGACCCCAGTGATCTTCCCACTTCAGCCTCCCAATTAGCTAGGACCACAGGTGTGTGCCACCATGCTCAGCTAATTTTTTTTTCCTTTTTTTTTTTTTTTTTTTTTTGTAGAGAGAGTGTCTCCCTATGTTACCCAAACTGGTCTGGAACTCCTGGGCTCAAGAGATCCTTCTGCCTCAGCTTCCCAAAGTGCTGGGATTACAAGCATGAGCCACTCTGCCCAGCCTAATTTAGTATTTACTGATGAGTATTTTTTGTTTTACCAAAAGTGTTACTGTTCTCCACACACCTTTGAGATGTGGTTATATACAAATTATTTGCTTCAAAATGTATTCACTTTTAACTGAGTCAAATGAAACTTAGAGTGTTTATTTTGAATCTATTAGTTTATCCACAATGGTAGCACGCTACCATGGTTGAATGTAAAATGTTTGTTTTTTTTTGAGACAGGGTCTCAACTTGTCACCCAGGCTTGAGTGCAGTGGCACAGTCATGGCTCACTGCAGCCTCAACTTCCCCAGGTCAAGCCATCCTTCCACCTCAGTCTTCCAAGTAGCTGAAAGTACAGGCACGTGCCACCATGCCCAGCTAATTGTTGTATTTTTTGTAGAGATGGGGTTTTGCCATGTTATCCAGGCTGGTCTTGAACTCCTGAACTCAAGCAATCCACTTACCTTGGCCTCCCAAAGTGCTGAGATTATAAGTGTGAGCCATCATGCCCAGCCCAAAATCATTTTTTAAAAGGTTTCTATTATAGATTGAGAATCTAGAATATATACAGTGAGAAGCCTAGAAGAACAAGAACTCTAGTTCCTTTTTTTTTTTTACCTTGCCCATGAAATCAACTGGATAAAAGCATCAAGATAAAAAAAAGCAACACAGAAAATTGCATGAAAACAAATTCAAAGTACATAGTGTAATCTATGAAGAGTTGTATAAATAAAGTATATTCCCAGAGTTTGGAAATAAGGTTAAAAAAGAAAAGTTGCTTATAAGACCAAGTCTACCAAATCTTCCAGATGCTAAAATCTAACTATTTGATTTAGCAAATATCTGAGGAGGGTCTACTCTGGGGTGTGCTAGGGTAAAATATGACATAATTTAATTAACATAGTTTGTCTGAAGGGTGGTAGGCAGCAGACTCCAGAGCAGAAAAATTATCAACATCAAAAATTTGATTTCAGCGCTACTCAAAGAGGGGCTACTCTGAAGGGAATGTCTGATCTTGGTTATATAGACAAAAATGCACCTGCATCTGAAAAAAAACAGAGAAGGCATGACTTCTCTGTTTCTGATTGCTACTGGGCAATCATAACTTGAACAATCTTTTGCTTTATTTCAGATCATTTATTAAGTACTTGCTATGAGCTAGATGCAAAGATGGATAAAGTGGATTCCCTCCTGGCCCTCAAGGGGTTTGTAATCTTGCGGAAAGCTTAAATTAATTGCTCTGGTTCTTTTCCATCTATAATGCCATATGAGTGGAGACAAATGACTGGTATTGTTTTCCAGGATATCTCCCACTGTAGTTTAAAAAAAAAAAAAAGGAAACAGTATCAACTACTTTTTAAGACTAGATAGCATTAAATAATTACTTAGATTCTGGTCACTCCAAGGAAATTAGTATAGTTGAATTTCTAAAATAGCAAAACCGAGATAAGATCCTGTAGCCACACTCACTCAGAAAGTAAGTCACATAGTAAGAGGCAGGCCCTACCTCCTAATAGCCATTACCCTGAATACTATTCAGGCCTCAACAAGAATGAAATGCAAAACTTACTTTTTGGCAAGTGCTCTTCTTTCCTCAGGAGTGTAATCTAGAGAACCAATGGCTCCCTCTCCTTTTGTTGGCATAAACCCAATGATGGCTAATAATGCTGTCCTTACTGAAATAAAAAAGTAAACATCAATCTAAATTGCTTTGTAAAAGCAACTGGATTTATTCTGGAAAGAGAAAAAAAGAGAGTATTATACTTCATAACTATGAATTGACTGAAGTTATGAGATTTATATTCAATATAAATTAACACTTACTACTCCATGAAGGCTGCCAAGTTTCGGGATGATGTCCTGAGATGCTCAAACAGATTTTCTTGCCCACTTCAAATCGTCCATTAGCCTGAGGAGTAAACAATGCGTTTAGAAAATTAAATACATGTGTTTAATGTTTTATACTTTCGAGGTAAAAATACATTATTTATATATAACTAATAATTTTAGAGATTATCTTAAAAATTTTTTTTAATGTAACCTCTAATGGGGCACAGATTTTTTGTCCTTATAGACACTCCAAAAACACTTGTTGGCTGCTGAATAATAAAAGCTGTTTTTAGAAGGTGTTTTATATAGCACCTTTTGAAACTGAATTGCACAACTGAAATCTAAATAATTAACAAAGTTTTACTGGCCAGTGAAGTGGCTCATGCCTGTAATCCCAGCACTCTGAGAGACCGAGGTGGGAGGATCACTTGAGGCCAGGAATTCAAGACCAGCCTGAGCAACATAGTGAGACACTGTCTACAAAATAAGAAAAAAAAAGAAAGAAAACTAGCCAGGAGTGGTGGCATGTGCCTCTAGTCCTACCTACTTGGGAGGCTAAGACAGGAAGATTGCTTGAGCCCAGGAGTTCAAGGCCACAGTGAACTATGACTGCATTGCAGCACTCCAGCCTGGGTGACTGTGTGAGACCCTGTCTCAGGAGGGGAGGAGAGGAGGGCAGGGGAGGGGAGACTGATGCCTGTAATCTCAGCAATTTGGGAGGCTAAGGCAGGAAGATCACTTGAGGCCAGGAGTTTGAGACCAGCCTGGGCAACAAAGTGAAACCCTGTCTCTATGAAAAATAAAAATTAAAAAAAATTAGCCAAGCGTGGTAGTAAATGACTACGGTCTCAGCTACTTAGGAGCCTGAGGTGGGAGGATCATTTGAGTCTGGGACATCAAGGCTGCAGTGAGCTGTGATCATGCTATTGCACTCTAGCCTGGGTGACAGAATAAGACCCTATCTCAAGAAAAAAGAAAAAAAAAAAGAATCTAAAAGAGAAGACATGCAAGAGGCTAGGTGAAACCTCAAGACTCAGTATCCCCTAACTGAATGTTAGTGAGGAAAGACATGGGAAGAATGGCTTTGAGAGAAGTATGATTTTCAGAGGAAGGATGAATGAATGAATGAATGAATAAATAATACTTGTGGAATGAAAGTTGGAGAAGACTTTTTAAAAGAAAGGTAGTAATCCAGAAAGAGTGTCATGTTGAAAATCAGGGCTGATTCTCAGCCAATGTGGTTAGTATAACCATACCATTGGCTAACTATTGAAATATATCTGTATTTGTTGGCCAAGAGCTGCTGCTAACTACTGCCCTCCACCGTCACCGGTCTCCCCATGCACCAGCGCCTCCCTCCCCTAAGACCACTTAGCTCTCCCCATGATCTAGCAACTAAATAAGTGACTCCTGACACAGAAGAGTGTCTCCAGGACCCTGCTCCAACCCTACTGCCAGCATTAACAGTTCTCAATATCAGCTAATACTTGTTAAGCAGCTTCTGTATGTCAGGCACTTTATAGTGTGATTACAATTACCAAACACAACATTCCTTCTGACCAATGAGAAAACTGAATTTTAAAGACACTGTGTAACCTGCCCAGAGTGTAATGGAAAGAGCAATGGTCAGAATCCAGGTCTACTGGCTCTTAAACAAATGCTCTCTCCATTATTCAAAATAGAGTGAAAAGCAGCATTAATTTGGTATTTATTGATGAATACCTGTTGTTTCACCATTTGCTACTCCATGTGGGTCAGATGTTTAACTTAGAAGAGGATGAAGACTGAGAAGGGGCAGTGAGATTTCTCAAACTGGTTTCTGAGACTGGTGTAGTAAGCATGTTTCAACAGGGCGCTATGTGTGGAAGGTGGCCTGCAGCAGGCTAAACTAGAAGGATGCCTTGGAGGTTACCAAAGAGAAAAACAGGCACAGCTTAAAATGATAACAGATACAGGAAATGGTTTTTGTGTTTGTTTTTGCTTTTTTCAAGGTTAGGGGATAATTAAACATAGTTAAAAGAAATGAGGAAAGAAAAGCTTAACAATTAAGAGAGGAATTAGATCAACAGTTTTCCTTGGCTAGGTATGATGGTGATTTCCTGTCATCCTAGCTCTTTGGGAGGCTGAGGTGGGATAATTGCCTAAGGCCAGTAGTTCAAGGCCAGTGAGACCATGTCTCTACCAAAAAGCTTTGTAATTAGCTTGGTACAGTGGCATGTGCCTATAGTCCCAGATACTCAGGAGGCTGAGGTGGGAGGACTGCTTGAGTCCAGGAATTTTGAGGGTGCAGTGAGCTATGATTGTGCCACTGCACTCCAACCTGGGAATCAGAGCGAGACCCTGTCTCTAAGAAAAAAAAAAGTTTTCCTTTGCATGAAGAAGATATATAAAGTTGGAGAGAAAGAGAGATTCTGAGATAGAAATAGAAATGATGCTAATACTTATTGAGGACTCTGTGTCAGGCTTTAAGAGCTATACAATAAGATATTGATACTTTTCATCCCACATAAACTCAATGAGGTAGGTATCATGTATTCTTATTGTCAAGATGAGGAAACTGAGGAAAAGAGGCTGGAGTGCAGTGTTGGGACCTCGGCTCACTGTAACCTCCACCTCCCTCCCAAGTAGCTAAGATTACCACCATGCCCAGCTAATTTTTTTTGTAGGTTTCACCATCTTGGCCAAGCTGGTCTTGAACTCCTGACCTCGTCATCCACCTGCTTCAGCCTCCCAAAGAGCTGGGATTAAAGGCGTAAGCCACCATGCCCAGCCCATTAGCTACTCTTTAGTGAGTGATTATGAAGTGCCAGATGTGTGTGCCCAGCACTTAGCATATATTAATTTATTAAATCCTAACACCCATGATATGACATTTATGCATTTAGTTGTATCATTTTTACTTCTTAGATGTATCAGCTTCCTAGGAATTATTTTGGAAAATAAAAATTGTAGTCCCAGGGCCTGGACCCCAAAAGCAAAATTATAATAATGTTATATTATTTCTTAATGAAAATGATTTGTTTACTCTATTTTGCAGCTACCAGGAAGAGTTAAGCCACGAGCATTCTAAAAATCCAGAATTCTTACCGTTAGGAGAATAATGCTTGGTGGTTTCATGGGATACTCTGGTGGCAGTACTATCCGCCCATGATAAACTCCTCCATCAAAATCGGAGTCTGGGGGCCCTCTAACCGTGAAGTGCCATTCAAAAAGGTTATCCTGAACAAAAACAAAAATTCACAAGCAATCAATAACCTTAAAAAGTTTGATCATTTTATCAATCTAAATATTAGAAATAGTACCAAGCAAGAAAAATTAAATGTTTTATATTATTGCTAGGATAGTTTCTAATGCACAAGATGTCTCAAGAATATAAGTGATAAATTAAATTTATAAGTAAAAGCTATTTAATCTGGCTTTCATGGTCCACTGAGCTAAAATCGTTTTTAAATAAACATATTAAAACTTTCTGAGTGTTGTTATATATTCATAAGTTACTTACAGGTTTTAATTGGAAATTAATCCTTGAAAGAATAGCAAATTGTGATAATTATCATATAATCAAATAATTACTTTGTTTGGGTTATTTTAACACATCTTTAAAAATTATCCCTTATAGTTGCCTAAGAGCTTATTTACAAAATGGTCAGTAATATTAATATATTTAATGTCATCTTAAGTTATCATGTACTTTTCAGTTTACAAAATACTTGCATATAAGTTATTATATTTTTATTCCCACTGTTACCATGAAAACCTGCCTGAGCATATTTAAATGCCCTCCTGCTACAGATGAAAAGACTGAGACAGGTAAAGATGTTTGTACAAAAAGACTTAAGTAGCTACAAAGACCCATCAAAGGGCTTCCAAACTTTACTGTAAAGTATCTGGGGTTCTTTCCACTTCCCCTCCCTCATACTCAAGATCTAACCTCAACTTAGCATCTGAGACTCATTTTATAAACACCACAAATCCGTTTCTTCTAAAGTGATTTGCAATGGCTAATGAAATATTCATGAAATATGGTAAATAAAATGTCAAACTACATCACAAACATCTGCAATGACTCAAAGCAATGAAAAGCAATTTTACAGAATTTGTTTTAAATATTAAAATACTAAAATCCATATAAAGAACATGGAGATAGAAACTAACCTCTAAAGGTTGCGCATGGTAATGATCTGTTGGATCTTTCAATTCTGCTGCTTCTTTCATTAAACGTTTAACAGCTAAAATAAAATTCACAAAAGAGATATTTAAAATATACTTTTTCTGAATGATTAGCACAGACTTACAAGCCTAATGAAAAATGTTCAAAGGCCTAGTGCAAATGAGCATATGGCAAAGGTTTAATTATAAGATGATGGGAATAAATAGAGCGGGGGGAGGAAGGAAATAGTTGCTAGGCATTAACACTTTTAAAAGAGTTATATATTAAATATATAGTGAAGACACTATTTTTATTTAATAAGTACTTATATATACTTCCTATATGGTGGTATTTATTGAAGTGCTTTTACAGACATGAATAACTCATTTAACCCTTAATACAACATTACTAGATAGGTATTATTTCTATCCCCACTTTCCAGATGGGAAGCCGAGACACGGAAAGATTATCTATCTTGCTCAAGGTCACACAGCTAGTAAATAAGAGAGATGGGATTCCAACACAGGCAGTTTGGCTCTACCCATTAAAATGGTTTTATTAACAAAAAATGTATCCTCTGGATCTCATGTTCAGTGAACAGGAAACACCTCTATATCCTCTACCTCTTGGGACTTTCCATCCACTATCTTGCATTAAATTAATGGACTGTCCTCTGAATTCACTGACTCTCCATGACCCTGATTAAATTCCTTCTTGAAATGATCTTTCAGCTTCCCTAAACCTCCAGTCCACTGACCCCACAACTTTCTTCACCTCCCCTATACGTATATTCATTTTCCTCTTTATCCACATCCTTGGCTCTCAGGAGTCTCTCTTTCACACTCCCTTAATAAAATCCAACTGTGCCTGACCCAACCCAACCATCTTATTTGTTGTCTATAGCACCACTGAAAGGAGGAAAAAAAGTCACAGAAGCTGGTGCAGTAATGCCATTGCAAGTCATTATCAACAACCTCCACTGGGACACAATGCCACATAATGTCCCTATATTTCTTTTCTTTTTTTTGAGACGGAGTTTCGCTCTTGTTACCCAGGCTGGAGTGCAATGGTGCGATCTCGGCTCACCACAACCTCCGCCTCCTGGGTTCAGGAGGCAATTCTCCTGCCTCAGCCCCCCGAGTAGCTGGGATTACAGGCACACGCCACCATGCCCAGCTAATTTTTTATATTTTTAGTAGAGACGGGGTTTCACCATGTTGACCAGGATGGTCTCGATCTCTTGACCTTGTGATCCACCCGCCTCGGCCTCCCAAAGTGCTAGGATTACAGGCTTGAGCCACCCCGCCTGGCCTTCTTTTCTTCTTTTTCAATAGAGACGGGGTTTCTCTATTTTGGTCAGGCTGGTCTCGAACTCCTGACCTCAGGTGATCCACCCACCTTGGCCTCCCAAAGTGCTGGGATTACAGGTATGAGCCACCGTGACCGGCCCCTACATTTCTCTAGTAAGCCTTCCAGCCCACTCTTTCCACCTAGCACTCCAAGATTCCTTTGCACCTAGTCTCATTTCTCCTCTTTCCGTTAATGGTACCCAGCTTTTTATCTCCCTGATAAATTACTCCTAGTAGGAGCACACTCAGATGCCTATCACAATCTGCCTATCACATTCTACAATCCTATCTGTATCTGCACCTCTGCCTGGCCAAAAAAATGTTGTTACTATTCCTACTTCATAATTATTAATATTCTTTTCCATCTCTTACTCTGAACTAAGCCCCTATATGCAGAGACTTTGGTCACTGGATCATCAACTATTTATTGAGTTCCTACTAGGTACTAGATGTTACAGTTTCGACTATCAACAAAATATGGCTTTGGTAAAGGCTTATGGCTGGGAGGGGCAGTCAACACAAAATAGCATGATAAATGCTATCTTAGAAACATGTACATATTGAGACACCCTCTCCCTCCAAGTCTAGAGACTGGGTAATTTGTTCAATTCCTTGAACATGCTTTACCTGCCCTCTACTCTAGACCTTTCTACACAGCTTTCCTCAGGGGCCAGGCTGCTTTGGCCCCATCCTCCACCTCACCATCTAGTATGGCTACCCTAGACCTTTAAGTAACTTCTCAGGAACGTCTCTATGACACCGTCCCCTGTCCTCTCTCAGTGCCTAGAGATTCCAATCTGAACAGATCAAAATCTCTGCAGCATCCTAGGGAGGGGTGGAGACTAGGAATGCTCTCTAAATTACTCTGGTTAGGTTGAGAAACCACTGCCCTAGAGACCAGGTTGAGTCTCTTTGCTCTATGCCATCATAATACTGTATTTTTCCTTTTATGAAGTTTGTCTCACTTTAATTACTTGTTTAACATCCATCTTCCCTGCTAAGCAATAGTAATGACAGTGCAGCAATACAGTCTCCTCAGGGCTTAGCACATGGTAAGAGCTCAAATATTAGTTGAATTAAATTTTCTATCTTCTCTCAATTTATCTTTTTCTAAGAATCCGATTAAAGACAAGGTTTTAAACTTATTAATAAAACAAAATCCTTTATTCAAATAAAAGCTTAATGAGAATCCCAACATGTGAAACAAAAACCCCAGAGTCACTTTGAAGAGGCCAACAGAAGGGCCTGCAGGCTATTCCCTGCCCTTCCATTTCGCTCCTGAATGGACCCATGGAACAAGGATGGAAAACCCTGCTTTCAAGCCACATAAACATATCATTCCCTTAAGTTAATATTATTAGATATGGAAGCTGTTTCGAAGTTAATTAGTTTGGAGATGCCAAAAAGATTGTTTTTCCTTCATTCCTCGTCAACTGGCTGAACTCAATAATGATTAAGCTGAAGTCAGATTTTATGTCATTCTATACCCTTATCATATTTTCTCTGCCTCTTCCCTACTCAGCTCAGTTCAACAGGAGAGAAGACAATAAACACTCAACACTTGTATCTGGATATTGAGAGAGATGTATAAAGGGTCAGAATTGTTATAAGAATGTATCTGTACCAATCCTGTAAGGAAACAATCATTGGTTCAACAATTAAATAGCTGATTTTATTAGTTCATAAGCCACAGGCACATACCATGTAAGAGCTAGGGCCATGTAGCCAAAAGGTGAGATTAGTCTATTGTTTCCATAATCTATTTTTCCAAAAATAACATATATTATGAATGCTTCAGTGAAAAGGAACAGAGACTCGATTTAGAGCTGCATTAAAATTCTGACTGACATTTTGTAGCTGTAAGTCCTTGAACAAGTCACTTAATCTGATTGTGGCTTGATATTTACATCTGTCAAATAAGAGTCAATAATTTCTCCACATAATTATCCTTTCCTTTTCACCCATCTCTCTTGCCCAGGCCCTTAGTTATTAAGGTTGAAAATGGACTGGGATATAAGGCCTCAACGATTCTTCCTAACTCAAAACCATAAGTCAGCAGATGTAGCTGGCCTTATGGCATGGTTCCTTGCCTCCTGAGGAGAAATACCACTGTTAGGAAACTGTCACGGTTCAGGGTGCTGCCTGGCAACTGGGCTACAGTATAGTTGGCCCCTCCTGATACTCCATCTCTTGCTTATACATGGCTTGAGAGGAAACTTTTTTATTCCAGCTCCTCTCCTATCTCTTGGAAAGGTTGTTCCATGGAATCCTTTCACTATGGTGAGATAAGATGTGCCAGGAAAGGAAGGGGTGGCACCTGCCTCCCTGCTTTTGTTCTTCCTTCTTATAGAGGCCACATGGGCACTCTGGAGCCATGCTCTAGGTGCTGTGGGCCTAGGCATTAGCATTCTTCACACACTGGGGCTAGCTCACTAGGCTCACACTGGGCTTTGGATCCAGCTACAAATAAAGGGATCTTCTACAGGCCACTGGCTCCCATATATATGGATTTCTCTTGAAAAGCAATTATCCTAGCGGCCGGGCGCAGTGGCTCACGCCTATAATCCCAGCACTTTGGGAGGCTGAGGCGAGTGGATCACGAGGTCGAGAGATCAAGACCATCCTGGTCAACATGGTGAAACCCCGTCTCTACTAAAGATACAAAAATTAGCTGGGCATGGTGGTGCGTGCCTGTAGTCCCAGCTATTTCAGAGGCTGAGGCAGGAGAATTGCTTGAACCCAGGAGGCGGAGGTTGTGGTGAGCTGAGATCATGCCATTGCACTCCAGTCTGGGTAACAACAGCCAAACTCCGTCTCAAAAAAAAAAAAAAAGAAAAGCAATTATCCTGATATTATCAACTTCCAAAGCATGAGTGAAATGCAAGAGACAGGTATATTAAGGAAGGCATGCTCCCTCACTGCCTCTTCCTGCTCCCATAATGCAGGTACTTAAGCAAATGCCTAAAGAGTGACGTTTCTGCCCAGGAGGACCCTGCAAAGGTATCAGTTCAACAAACATTCAAAGAATGTCTGAGTGTTGGAGATAAAAGAATGACCATGACCTGGTTCTTGTCTTCCATAAGAGTAGAGAAAGACATGAAAATAATTACAATACAAATGGTAATATTGACCAAGTATATATGTACAAATATATACAGAAACTAGTCTGCCTAGGGGAGCTATACAAGGCTGAACCTTAAAGCTTGAAGAACTATAGGAATTTCAGATGGATTTAAAGGAAAACATTCTAAGCAGAGGTTCCAAAAGGAACCAAAGCATGTAAGTGAAAAAAGCTACTCCACCTGGAGAGTCGTTTGGGCAAGATGGATAGGTAAAAATGCAGGCCCGGTACAGTGGCTCACATCTGTAATCTCTCCTCTTTGGGAAGCCGAGGTGGAGGGATCACTTGAGCTCAGGAATTTGAGACCAGCCTGGGCAACATAACGAAACCCCTGTCTCTACAAAGTATACAAAAATAAACCAGGCATGGTGGCGTGCACCTGTGGTCCCCGCTACTGGGAGGCTGAGGTGGGAGAATCGCCTGAGCCCAGGAGGTTGAGGCTGCAGTGAGCTGTGATGGCACCACTGCACTACAGACTGGAAGACCCTGTCTTGAAAAAAAAAGGAAAAAAGAAAATGCAAAACAGCATAAGAGTGGTGGATGATGAGGCTGGTGAGGAAGGCCAGGGTCAATCATGAGCAGCCCTGTAGGCCAAGCTAAGCAGTTTACTTTGAACTTTATCAACAGCTGTCAGAAAGCTACTGAAAATTTTTCAATTTGAGAGGTAGTCAGTTTTTGTTTTAACTGATCTGGTGACAATAGTGACTGACTAGATATATGTGTTTCTGTGTGTGTACTGAGTTGTGTGTTTCAGGGCAGGGATGGAGCAAGGAAGCAGACAAATAAACAAAAAATGACTCCCATAGGTGCCTGAGTGCTGTCTATCCCTGGGATATGGAACATTAGAGTAAACTGCAAATTTAGGGGACAAGAAAACTGATGAGTTTCGTTTTTATTCTCACAGAGTTTTTCTCTCTATGGGAAATCAAGATGAAGGTGTTGAGTCACCATAAGTTCTGCGTATCTATAGCTTAGGAGAAGGGTCTGAGTTGGACATGAAACCTTGAGTGGATTCGTGTGAAGGTGCAGCTGACACCAATGGCATGAATAGCTAACTCTTAGACTTCTGGTAGAGGCAGCGGGTACTTTTGCAGCAGTCTCTAATACTCCCATCACCTGCTGCACATGTCAATGGCCCCCTTATGAAGAAGCTGCCAAAGGAGGTTTTTTTTTTTTTTTTTTTTTTTTTTTTTGAGACGGAGTTTCGCTCTTGTTACCCAGGCTGGGGTACAATGGCGCAATCTCGGGTCACCGCAACCTCCGCCTCCTGGGTTCAGGCAATTCTCCTGCCTCAGCCTCCTGAGCAGCTGGGATTACAGGCACACGCCACCATGCCCAGCTAATTTTTTATATTTTTAGTAGAGACGGGGTTTCACCATGTTGACCAGGATGGTCTCAATCTCTTGACCTTGTGATCCACCTGCCTCGGCCTCCCAAAGTGCTGGGATTAAAGGCGTGGGCCACTGCGCCCGGCCCCAAAGGAGGTTCTTTATACACGTCTCCCCACTTTGCTCTGTAAGACTCTACTTCCTTAGCCAGAGCAGACCCAAACACGGGTCAGGGAGCTTGATCCACAGACCACTACTGACAGGCTAGTCAGAGGCATATGAGGTGATCCTACACAACAGCTCTAGCCACAATCACAGGTCCATTCCAAAAAATTCATAAAAGAAAAAGTTTCCCACCTATGAAATGAACAGGTTTACTATCCACATGCTAGTGCACTGGCCCTTAACCAGTTATCTGTATTGTCTTCATTTAATCTTTCCACTCATACATCAAAGACAACCCCACATCAGATAAAAAGTAAAGGATTATATCCCTCACACTGTGTGGTGGCTTTTGTTTGGTTGGTTGGCTGGTGTTTTATGTGCGTGTGTGTGTGTGTGCACGCACCCTGCCATACACAGGAGATTGGAATTTTCAGTTGTTTTCCTTCATATAGGCATTACTCTAAAAAATACCACAGGACTGAGAATAAAGCAAAGGAAGGATTTTCAGGATGCCTCCCAGCATTTTCAGTAAGTCTCATATCTCACCTAATTCAACTTCTCTATGAATTCCAAATAATCAACACACTAACAAAAATAGATTTTTAAGAAGCATTGTGGCCGGGCGCGGTGGCTCACGCCTGTAATCCCAGCACTTTGGGAGGCCAAGGCGGGTGGATCACAAGGTCAAGAGATCGAGACCATCCTGGCCAACATGGTGAAACCCCGTCTCTACTAAAAATACAAAAATTAGCTGGGCATGGTGGTGCGTGCCTGTAGTCCCAGCTGCTCAGGGGGCTGAGGCAGGAGAATTGCTTGAACCCAGGAGGCGGAGGTTGCAGTGAGCTGAGGTCACGCCACTGCACTCCAGTCTGGGGCCTGGTGAGGAAGCAAGACTCTGTCTCCAGAAAAAAAAAAAAAAAGAAAAGTAGCATTGTTTTTTAAATCAGCAACACTATCTTTGAGGAAATAAAACCAAAAAAAGGAAGCAATTTATGACAAAGCTAGAAGCATGTCAGCCAAAGCTCAGCCAGTGGATGATAGTTCGCATACTTTGGAAATGTACAAAATTCTGGAGAATTTTAAAAGCTTATCATTGTAGTATTAAGTCTAACCTATTGAAATTGAGTGATGTTTTCTGACAACAATCTCTTGGGTTCCACCAGTTCTCCATTCCAAACTGCACTACTACTCACATGTGGATTATCCTCTGGACCTTTCACTAAGCACCTCTGCTGTCCTAAGGAACCCTGTGAGCAGGGAGCCACCAGATGTTTCTACCCAAATAGTACTAGTTAAATCTACCACAATGTAAATAATTCAATCATACATTAAGCTTTTCTTTCTTCCCCTCTTTCTCTTTGGTCTTTTCTTCCCCCTACCTCCACTCCAGGTTTTTGTTTTGTTTTGTTTTTTTGAGATGGAGTCTTGCTCTGTCGCCCATACTGGAGTGCAATCGCGATCTTGGCTCACTGCAACCTCCACCTCCCAGACTCAAGCCATCTGGGACTACAGGAGTGTGCCACCACCATGCCCGGCTAATTTCTGTATTTTTAGTAGAGACAGGGTTTCCCCATGTTGATCAAGCTGGTCTCGAACTCCAGACCTCAAGTAATTTGTCCCCCACCCCCACAAGCCTCCCAAATGCTGCGATTACAGGCACGTGCCACCATGCCAGGTCTTCATATTTTTTAAGGAGTCAGTGGCCCCTAAAATGTTATGACCAAATCTACACACTTGGTCACCTAAGGACATTTCTAAGCCTGGCAGCACTCAAGCTAACAAAGCTCCCTCAAATCAATATCCTCAGGCTTTTCTGGGATTTTTGCATATTCTGAAACCTTACAAAAACCCCCAGATTCACAATGTCAACTCTTTCCATAAGGATGCTAATTTTGCTAATTCCTACTGAGAAACAGCTTTTTTTGGAAGGAAATTTTAAGCAAAAGCAAGAGTCGGTGAAATCATCATTAATATCCTAGAGTTTGCAGAGTTAACTGTGGAGTTTCTTCCTCCTGGCAAAATTTACCAAGGTACAGATAGAAAAAAATACCATTTAGACGATCCAATGATTCATTTCAAGCCTGTTGTATTAAGCTGAGAACGCTAGTTACTTATCTTTATTATGCACCAGAAAGTAATTAAAGGCTAGGATTGCTGGGACTGCTTGTGTAAATGAAGCAGGATCATTAAATGCAGGAAAAGAATCTCTACGACTGAATATAGATATATTTCATATTAGCCAGTATGGCAAAAATCAAGGTTAGTTCCCATGTACAGGGTTCAACCAGGTATTTTTTGTTTGTTTTGTTTTGTTTTAGTTCTATAGTTAACTGGCTTAGTTACAGAACATTTCCTTTATGTCTGCAATTCTATTCGGCCCAGGTGCCGCAAGTAAGATATTTAAACGACCAACCCCTCAAATGTGAGTAATGCAGCCGGCTAACAGAAGTCCAGTGGCAGTGACCGGGAGGGGATAGCGACGGTGTTCCCGATGCAGGTACAGCAAGGGGTTGTTGACTGTCGCCCACCGACATCACCTTTACACCTGTTCTTAGGGATGAGTTTCTGACCCAGCTCTACGGGACGGGGCGAAGATGGGAAAAGGGAGAGGCCGGGTGCTGCGGCGCGCTAGCCTGCCCGAGGATTAGCAGCGGGCGTTCACCGGGCCACCCCGCCCTGCGGCCTGCACTTCCCGGGCAGGCGGCGGTCTCGCGTAGAGCGCGACACCGGGAGCGGAGCCATGAGTGGCGCCAAACGCTAGGGGACCGCGGCGACCGCCCCGGGGTCCAGGTCACTCTGCCCTCTTCGCCCGGGGGCCCCAGCCTCGCTCACCAGGACTCTTCAGGTTGTAGCGGGTCTCCATGGCGGGTCGCTGGCCTGGCTCCGGCCTCCCGGGCCGCTGCCCGGGTCTCAGCACGGCTCAGGCTGACGCGGTCTGGCCGAGGAGCCTCCGCAGACGCCGCCCAGTCCAGCCCGGACTGCAGGCGGGGTGACGAGGCCGAGTGCGGGCGAGGTGCTGGCTTCGCGATGGCGCCGCCTCCTCCGCTGCACCCCCCGCCTCCCTGAGAGCCGGGCCGGCGCCGGCCGGGCGTCGCTGAACCGGGCGACCGGGCCGGAGATCAGCCTCCTCGGGTAGCCGCAGGCCCAGCCCCGCCGCGGCCGCGGGGCTTGCGTCACCTGCCCTCGTCCGGGTTTTGTGAAGTTGCCTGACGTGGCAGCAGCTTCGTGGCGGTCGGTCACTCCCCAGTCGCCGCCGGCCCCGTAAAGCCGGCTTGGGATCTGCAGGAGCGAGCAGTGTCTTTGTCCCCTCGCCCCGGCCCCCGGAAGCCGAACTTCCCTCTGGCCCTCCGGGGTCCCCAGGCGCTAGGAGCGCCGGCCCTACCCGTTGCAGGAGAGGTCCGGGACCCCCGGGCCCTCGAGAGCTCGGAGGGGGCGCCGGGCTCCGGCTGCAAAGCTGTTCACGCGCGGTCCCGCGGGGTCTGGGAAGGGCTTTGTTTATAGATCCAGTTGCTGTGGCGGGGCAGGGGTGCGGTGGTGGGGGGCGCGGCGAGAAACAGGGGTTAAGTGAGGGGGAGAGGGGAAAGCCAGTGGCGAGGGAATGGAGGAGGATTTTTTTTCCCCCTGTTCAGTCGGAGTCTCGCTCTGTCGCCCAGGCTAGAGTGCAGTGGCGCGATCTTGGCTCATTGCAGCCTCTACCTCCCAGGCTCAAGCGATTCTCCCACCTCAGCCTCTAGAGCGCTGGGACCACAGGTGTGCGCCACCACGCCCGGGTAATTTTTTGTATTTTTGATAGAGACAGGTTTTCACCATGTTGGCCAGGCTAGTCTCTAACTCCTGACCTCAGATTATCTGCCCTTCTCGGCCCCCCAAAGTGCTGGGATTATAGGCGTGAGCCACTGCACTAATCAGTTGTATATTAATAATTTTTTTCGAGTAGTGTGTTAGGTGCAAGACACTGTTTTAGGCGTTGCAGAAGTTTGTTTGCTTTTGATTTGTTTAGATTTAAAAGCCGTCAAAAAAAAAGGAATTACATTGAATTGAGAGAAAGCATACAAATATGAAAGATTAAACTTCAAAGAACACACTTCTTGCTTCAGTGTCAAATGTGTGGGATTGAGAGAGGACTATGAGTTCAAAAGACTTGAGAAGGAGTAGGAACCTTAGGACCGGAAAGGAGGGAGGGAATGGGAAGGTGGGGAGGATAGAGAGGATTAATCAGGTTGGGCAAGTGTTATTCTGTTATTTAAAGATACAAAACTCTTAAATTTGATTTGTTTTCTGTTGTTAAATAATCTAAATCCGTGAGTTTCTTAGTGAAATTGGGAGGAAAAAAGTGAAGGATATCTAAAATTAGATGGTATCTTTTAAACCATTCCCCATGTTGTTTTTTGTATAGTAAACTGATAATCTGATTGGCTGAGATATGCGAACAAAACCAAACTTCAGTGCTGCTTCATTCATTCATTGTGTTGGATCTTCGAATTAGCTACCACTTGACATCCTCGCCTGCCACAGCTCCATAAAAGCCCTTAATTTGTGCAATAGGCCCTACCACAGTAAGGCCTGCGAAGCAGATGCTGTATATAATGAGTTCCTATTTGATAGGGGAGTACTAGAAGCCTTTTGCTATTCAGCCTCCAGGTCCATCAATCTGTGGATGCAGTTGTCCTCTGGGGCTCTCCTTTAGCCACTGCCACCTCCTTTGCTCTCTGGGGCTCTTCTCCCACAGGACTGGCTCAGTAGGAATTACATCTCTCCTTCCTTGGTTAAAAACAACAATTTATTGTGGACGTAACAGTTTAATTATGGCCACATATCAAAGCTTAATTACAATCATATTCCAAGATCAAAGCCAATTCCAAAATTTCTCTCAGCAGAGACATTTATAGAGAAAAGAGAAGTTAGAGATATGAAAAGAAAGGCTGGCTGGGCGCAGTGGCTCACGCCTGTAATCCCAGCACTTTGGGAGGCCCAGGCAGGTGGATCACCTGAGGTCAGGAGTGGGAGACCAGCATGGCCAACATGGCAAAACCCTGTCTCTACTAAAAATACAAAAATTAGCTGGATGTGGTGATGCACACCTGTAATCCCAGCTACTCACAAGACTGAGGTAGAAGAATCGCTTGAACCCAGGAGGCAGAGGTTGCAGTCAGCCAAGATCAGCCTGGGAGACAGCGAGACTCCATCTCAAAAAAAAAGGCTGAGGTGGGCGGATCACTTGAGCTCAGGAATTCGAGATCAGCCTGGGCAACATGGTGAGACCCATCTCTACTAAAAATATACACATACTCAAAAATTAGCCAGGCATGGTGGTACGTACCTGTGGTCCCAGCTACTCTGGAGGCTGAGGAGGATGGATCAGTTTGGCTCTGGGGGATGGGGGATGGGGGAGGAGGAAGAGGAGGAGGTTGCAGTGAGCCATTATGGTGCCACTGCACTCCAGCCTGGGTGACAGAGCAAGACCCTGTCTCAAAAGGAGACACACAAAGAGAAGAGTAATTCTATTTAAAGTTTGCTAAATTATTGACTAACAGCTGGATGGGAAGAGGAGGTCATTTCCCTGGAAAATTTGTTATCCAAAACTGCTTTTTTTTTTTTTTAATCTAGAACCCTTATTTCTTCCTAGAAAAAGTTACAAATTAGGTAAAAGTTTCAATCCCAGTTCAAATTTGGGGTAATTTTTTCTTTACGTTTGATGATCCTAAGGAAAACTCCTTTTTTTCATTTTAATATTTTTTCAAATCCTTAAAGCATACTCCTTAGCTAACAAAAATGACAAAAGATGAGGTTTAAAATGTCTCAGAATCTTAGAAAACATCTTAGAATCACAACCCTTGACCTGTGTAATTAATTCATCTTTTCCTTAGATAGGAACCAGAAGCCCTTTGAAGTGCAGGTCCTTTCCCCACCTCCATTTGCATCCTTGTGCAAGGTCTGGACTAGAGTTGTTTTAGCATCTACTGTGTATCAGGCACTTGACATAACATCAACTAATTTATTCCTCATAACAGCCCTAGAAGTGACACCAATTCTTTACACCCATTTTAAAGATGAAGATAATTGAGGTCTCAGAGAAATCAAGTGTCTACTTCTCGGTTTTTTCAACTACAAATTATTATCTTTCTGGCATATGATTTTTTATGTTAATGAGAAGAAAGTTTTCTAGATTTTCATCTATTTCTTGATTTGGTTTGAATACTTTGAAATATATTTTATAAAGTTTCTTAAGGTGACTTATTCAAGAAAAGCTTCAATGGCTTATCTAGAAAATGAAAGAACCCTGATTCAAGTCCAGGTCTTCTGACTGAAACCTGGGTTGTTTTGCTACACTAAGAAGGAATCAGGCTGTTTTGCGTCATTTGATTTTTCCACTAATTGAAAAAAGAATATGCTTCTTAGAACCTTAGAGCTATTCTTTGTTCACACACTTTACTAATTCTTTAGCACTGGAAACATTTTTTTTTTATTATTTTCTTCTTGATCATAAAATTAATATGATGATTGTTCAATACATGGAATATGAACAATATCCAAATCTCCCATAATCCTCCTGCTTAGAAAAGGCCATGATTAAGATTTCGATGTATTTACCTTGAGCTTTTATTTATAAGGCATAGATATTTTAAGAACTAATATCCCATTGTACCATATATACTTTTATATACTTAAAATATCTGCCATTAGCTAACTGGATTACTTGTTTTGCCAGTTGCAGTGCTATTATCACTTAAACTGATAGTGTGAATTGGCTTATTTTACATCAGTGTCTTCCTTGAGTAAAATTTAAAAAAAGAAAAATACCTCAGAAAACCAAATACAAACTTTATTGCATTGCTTCTTAGCCTTTTGGCTAAGATCAAGTGTAGACTTTATGATAAACATTTTGTTCATTACCTTGAATATTTTATAATACTTTTTTTTCCCAGAAAAGAAAACACCTGCTATAGTTTTTTCTCTTGTTTTATCCCCAGGATTTCCCCTTGGGACTGGTTAATAAAAAACATGGAACATTTTCCTATGGGGATGTAGGTGGTATTAATTTAATGGAGATGTTAGTTACATTATTATCTAATTACATTAGTTGCACAAGTTTAAACTCTGATTACCTGAACAAAAATGTCAGGCAGGAAGGAGTTCTCTGTTTTTGTGTGCCCCACCTTACTGCATTGCAGGTCTAATTCTTAGATCAGCAGCTGGCTGAAAGATCTAGGAGAGAAAATGCCTCTGTTTTTTTTTTTTTTCTTCTCAGTTTTTGCTATGTTCAAGATATGTCTTGCTTGCTCATTTTAACACTTTTCTAATATATTTCAGGAGAAAATATTATGGAGGGATATCAAGTAAATATATTTGAAATACAGTAGAGTGCTTAAATACTAGTGTAGTAGGTTCCTTCACCAGATGGCTTGTACTGTACCATTTCTCATTTTAAAAGGTTTTCCTATAAGTAAGCAGAGAAGCATTTTCTAAATAAAATAGTAAATATTGCAAACAACTATTATTAATTTTTGCCATAGCTTTCTTAATAATGTCTTTTTTTCTTTTTTTGAGACCCAATTTGCTACCATAGCTTTGAATTATCTATTCCTCCCAAAATTATAACTTTTGCTGTTAGGGATAAGGAAATGCAAATCTGCTTAGTATTGTGCTTTTGCTTTATTTGCATAGACTGCATCTTGCTTTTCTCAAAGTGTAAAGGTGCTTTAAAAACTAGTAATAAAATTACAGTACTTATTCTTACTCCTTAGTTCTGATGAACTGATGAGTTTGAGTTATTTCATTTTCTAAGTTCAGCTCTAAAGGAAACACCTGCAACTAAAATAAAACTGTGGTTTCTGGGAGAGAAAATGTGCACTTGGTGGTGTGCTGGCAGACAGCTGCCAACTGTTTCGGCAGGGTGTTCTCCTTCCCTCCTCTGAGTCCTCTCCTAAGAGCTTTCAAAGCACTGTCCTTCTGCCTGTATCTTTCTTCTTGTGTTGCTTATCCTGTCACCCCAAATTGTCATTCCCTGGACCCTTTTTAGCCACTTGCTGATTGATGAAACTTGGTCACCAACAAACTAACCTGAACAAACAGCTGTAGAAGTTTGCTCTTCCTTGAGAGTAGTTTGTTTCTGTTCATTGGGAAAGTGCAAAAAAAAAGTCCAGAAATTTCTAAGTTCAATACTTTTAAACAAATTTGTATTTTATTTACCATTATAGTATCTACAAACTTCCAAAAAATAATGTTATAGGTAGAAGAAACATTCTTTAGTCTCCAGACAATGCTCAGCATATACATGATTTATGAAATTCTTGCAGTAATTCTGCAGCCATGGGACATTTTGGCAATATTATTAATGTCTTCAGAACAATCAGTACTACACTGCTTCCCATTAAAACCCAAGTTACAATTATAGGCAAACTTTGAATGATAACCACATCGTCATCTCAAAAGTAGTCCTGCACTTTTTTCAGCACTAAACAACCAGAAGTTATAGGTATGCCACAATCTGCCTTCTAGCATCTTTTGAGAAAAGACTGGGGCCAGTTTAACTTCTCTGGGGAATTCAAGTTGGGTTTAAGTACAAATGCTGGCTGGGCGCAATGACTCACATCTGTAATTCCAACACTTTGGGAGGTGAAGGTGGGAAGATCACTTGAGGCCAGAAATTCAAGACCAGCATAGCTAACATGGCGAGATCCTGTTTCTACACACACACAAAAGTTGCGGGGTCGGGGGATGATACAGGTGCTATTAGACAGTAATATATACTATGTATG